GAGATTCTTTTGGTGGCCAGGAATGTACAATGATGTGGCAGAATTCGTGGCAAGTTGCACAACGTGCCTCAGAGTCAAAGGACCTCTCCAGAAAATTAAGGTGCCTCTCAAGATATTCCACGATGGAGTTTTGCATGGCAGATGGCATGTTGACACAGCCGGGCCATACCCTACAACAAAAGAAGGGTACAAGTTTGTGTTAGTGGCAGTGGAAGCACTGTCTGGATGGCCAGTATTTGTGCCACTCAAAACTCAGCAAGCCCAAGAGGTAGCAAGAGCTTTAATCACTCACGTGTTCTCAGTCTATGGAGCGCCACTGTCTATACTGACAGATCAAGCTCAGATCTTCGAGTCAGAGTTGTTCCATGAGATAATGGCACTCTATCACATTAAGAAAACTCGAACGACTGCTTATCATCCTTCAGCCAATGGGAAGGCAGAACGTTGGGTCAGAACACTGAAACAGAATCTCAAGTTACTATGTGATGGAGCTCATCGAATGTGGGTAGAGTATTTGCCCTTCATTGCACAAGCATACAGAAGTCTACCTCATGCAAAGCATAAGTTCTCACCTTATGAGATAATGTTTGGAGCACCAATGAGGACACCTCTCCATATGGAGCAAGGACCACCGCCTGCGATGCCAACAATGAAAGATAATTATCCATGGGCAGTGCGAAATGCTTTGTGCAAAATCCATGAGGAAGTCAGAAAGATACGAGCTGAAGCTGCAACCAAAATGAAGCAATATTATGACAGGAATGCTGGAATTTGTCCTTTCAATGTAGGAGACAAAGTTTTCCTATACAACAAGGCATTGAAATGGTATGAAGCATGCAGAAAGCTACATATTGAGTGGACAGGCCCCTATACCATACTCACTCTTATAAACGATTGTGATGCTCGAATTCAAAATGATAAAGAGCCTTCTGACATTCAAGTTGTACACATGGATCGCCTTGCACCACATCCTTCAGTTGGAGAAGAAGGTGTCGGGGCTTGGCTGAATTGGCTCACATTCAATGGAACAGATGAGTCCGATGAATACTTGTTCCTGCAAGAGAGAAAGAAAAAGGAGTGAGACAGAGATACCAAGTAACACCTGAGACCTCAACAATACTTAGTCCAACAGTTCCCATAGCAACAGAACCATCTTGAAAAGCTGAAGCAGTCATGAGTCAAAGGATGGATACTTTTCTGGAAAAATACAAGATTCCTAAAAAGCCAGGAAGCAAGACAGATGAAAAATGGGAAGCAGTAGTAAAATTGGCAGGACGCAGTAAGCAGTGCCATAAAACTGCAAGTAAGAAGCCAGTGAAGCCACAGAAAAAGGTTACAGCAGCCTTACCTCAAGTAGACTTTGCTGCTCTCAAAGCAAAGATGCAAAAGAAATATGATGAACAGAAAGCCCTAGAAAAAGAAAAACTGGAAGCAGCTGAAAAGGCGAAGCAAGAGAGACGGCGAGAATGGGAATTAAAACAAACAGAAGTAAGTGCTTCACGCAGAAAAATGCAACAAGAGGAAGCAGAAAAACGCAGAGCAATGGTTCGAGATTGTGAAGCCAAAGCAGAGGAAAGACTACAATTTGACTTACTGGAGGAAGAATTGTTTGGGTCTGCTGGAACGAACAACGATGATGTCGATATTGTACTCTCTGACTTTGATGAAGACGAATTGCTTGAAGAACCGGAATCAACGCAGAGCCAGTTGGTTCCACAAATGCAGCAACTCTCAGTACAGGAAGAAACGGTGACTGCAGATGTGGAAATGGAGTCAGCAGATATTCCAGTAGTCCACGAAACTCCTCAGTCAAAACCTGCACAAAAGAAAATATTAGTGAGCAAGAAACAGAAGGAGAAAGCCCGTTGTTGGAAATGTGGCTCACGCAATCACAAACGAAGTGAGTGCTCAAACGCCACCAAGAAACAACTTCGCCGAGTGGCAAAAGAATTGAATTTGCAAGTACTTACACTCAAGGATGCCAAGCGGAAAGTCGCATTGTTCCCATTGATTCCGGTGCCACCACCTTTGCCACCGATCGAGTTGATGGAACAATTGTCATCTCAAGAAAACCTCATAGAGTGAGAAGACCTGCAAAGAAAGACAGAGACAGGTTAGGTACGACGAGACCTAGTGAAACATTTAGCTCTCTATTGTATATATGTTAAAGCTTCAAAGTCAGTATAATCATTAACTTCATGTAAAGTGAAAACCCCTGTTTAAAAATAATAAAACACTATACTAATAATTATGTTTTCCTTAGAACTTCTACATTCCTTGGTACACCCACTTAATACGATGATGAACAAAGTTTTAGAGAAACACTCGTAACCCGCCTATTGGCCGCGTTGAGTGCTTTCTACACAAACAAAACGCAAAGTAAGCCCGTCTGTGGGTCAAGTCCCAGACCGCGCTTTTGTGTTTCACCTACACTTGAACTCTAGGATGAGACACTTACAATGAACACAAAGTAAATTTAAAACTTGGTTGTCAGCTAACCACTTTGTTTGATGGACACCAGTGGGTAAATAGAATGGCTAGTAGTGCCTCAGAATATGGAAGTACGACTGGAAAACAATTCTTTAAACTCAGAATGAACTTAGAATTTGCTTACCTTTGGTCTTTTCGTTTGAAGGGGGAAGAGAAGTAGAATATGTTTCACAAAGTCTCAAAGTAATAACCTGAAATGTCACCTGAAGGAACTTTTGTTTTGATTGGAGTGATAAGCCAAAAGCAGAAGAAAAACAACGTTAATAGAAGGCACAGAATCAGCACTACCAACCCAGAAGGAATGACAACAACAGGAAGAATGAAATTGGATAAGAAACGTATAAAAGGAAACAGGAATGGAAAGAGGGAAATAAACACTAGAAAACTGGCCCAAGAGCTGCATGCAACATGCACCGAAGATAAGGTTAAGGGTCGCAATGAATAATTAATGATGTCCTTCCCTGGATAAACAGAGACAAAGTCTAGTAGCCCTGGAAATCTGCTTGGAAACGCACTTATCGTCACGCACGAATGAGGACATGGTGGAGAAATGCGGTGGAGAAATATCAATGACTGGTACAGTGTTAAAAATGGAGGAGTGTTGCCTTACTCGGGAAAATGATGAAATGAAAACAGTTAAAATGACAAAATTTATGATAAACACTGTGACACAAAGATGAGGCAATACTAGCAGAAATGCTACTTAAGGGCAGGAAAAATGCCTGGTACAAACAAGAATTCTACTTAAAGAGAGCGGACAACATATCTGGGAGCCCAATCTCGTACTGGGTAACAACATTAGAGGTATCAGAAGACCCGTCAGGGCGAACAAGCAAGTTGGATAATGTAGTGGCCAACGCACGTCGAGAAGGACAGGTCGTGGGGTCACAGTCCTCCACTCTAAGGACGAAAGGGTTGCGACATTTAGGGCTGATACTGTAGAAAACACAGCGCCAATGCTCATGGGACACAAAGTCCCCTTGAGAGGCCGGGAGATGAGTCCTCCACATAATTCCACCGTCGTCGTCCACAATTAAACACCAGTGGTCATGTCCGAAAATGGTATTTGGCCGGTCAAGGCTCCAAAGGGCACAATCCAGATGGGCCTAAAAGGAATCAATCATTAACGCTGGAAAATGACAGAACGTCAGGAGAAGCATGTGAAGCCCCTTGGAAACTTACATTGAAAATATTCTGTTCACCAACCATTTTAACACGGGCGTAAGTGCCCTGGATGCATCGCTTGGGACGATAAGTCTCCACCACAGGATCCATAACTATTTTAAGGTGAAAAGTATGGGAGAAAGGGTCAAAAAGCACGAAGAGACGACAGAGGCGAAGAGCACCAGAAAAGGACGAGAGAGTAAGATGGCGTCGCTTGGGGAGCGACAAGAAGAGAACAAGCAGATTGACCAACATTGGAAAGCTACAGGAAGTGTTTGAAAAGAACGCGCGCTAAAATTACAAGGCAAAATCAAAGGCCAGAACTATACGAGAAGAAAGCTTCAATAACGGACATGAAAAGACAATAAGAGAGTCAACATTCAAAAACAAAGAAGTCACAGAGAACGAAGCAAAAGAAGTTTGACCGTTAAACAGACACAGTTGGTACGACTGACGTCTGCAACCACCACCGAGCCAGACAGGCCGCAATGCAATGGCAGGAAAGCCGGAGTCAAGTATCAAGGAGTAAAGGCTCGTTGGAATGTCAGACACAGTAAAGAACTATACGATTCAGAGGCAAAATACTACTATGGTCTGTGACAGGGGTGAGCCAGATGGAGAACACCACACGGTATCTGAAGGCCACATCATCGGCATCGGCAAGCAGCACCTCAGGCGTTCCAGAGTACCATGTACCAACTGGACGACTCAAGGCGGCGCACTCGTGCACGACTCCAACCAATGTGGAGGGAAATGTTCCACAGATGAAGATGGAACGCCGTGGAGGACGCCACGGAGGTCACCAGCACAACAGCACCAGCACCATGGCCATCACCACCACCGCCAACGCGGAGCGAATACCTGAAGCAACACCAGCAACCGCACTCCCAGCACAGGACATACAGTAGGGCCAAGTGGGACCCAAGAGGGGACCCAACATGATACTCTGTTAAATGCCTTTCTGAGATATCGGTGTGAAGATCTGCATCAGGGTGGATTCGAACCGCCGATACCGGCTGTTATCCATCTGGGCCACACACGCTACCCACTAGACCATTGCAATACATCGGACGGAGCGGAGCGCTAGTCCTGAAGAGCCGCTCTGCCCCCACCACCGACGCGAGCGTCGACGAACTCGGGAGCCAATCAGCGCAGCGACGTGACCCCACCATCGGCACGAAGTGACCCGCACGACGAAGCAACAGTGCGAACAGGGTAGCCAACCCAGTGAAAACAATAGCCATTCATGCGGATCAATCGCACTCGATATGAACGCACCGAGGCAATGCGTGCTGGAATGCATAACACGCGGGCCGTTGCCCGGTCAAGCCTCACGGTCAGTCGGCACTTGACAGCCAGGAGACGCAGACATGGCACTTGCTTGGTTAAGTCGGCAGCCATGGTACAACAAATTCAAGCAGACAGCTGTCAAACAGCCGGTGATTGTTTACATTGAAGGAAACATAGGAGTTGGCAAGTCAACGTTACTGAAGAAATTGGAAGAAAAAGGATACCTTGTAGTGCAAGAACCAGTTTCCCAGTGGACAAACTATCATGGGATTAATTTCCTGGAATTGTACACTCAAGATATGCAAAAGTGGGCGTTTACCTTTCAATCAATGGTGCTCAGTACATTGTGGCAGACTCAACTAGAAGCTATACAACAAGAAAATCCTGTCATCATCGCAGAGCGATCTCTACATAGTGTGGTCAAGATGTTCGCTAAAACGCAGAAAGACGCTGGATTTATGAACGAAGAGCAGTATATATTGCTTGACAACACAGCCAAGACTATGGTATCTCAGTACAAGAGAAAGGAATACTTCATATATCTTCGAGGCAGTGCATCGACAGCCTACAAAAGGATCCATCAAAGGGCAAGGGATGAAGAGAGCACATTGTCCAAAGGTTACATCCAACAGCTTCATCTGATTCTGGACAACTGGATGGAGAACGAACCAGGACTTCATGCAGTAGTGGATGCCACAGGATCTCCAGAGACTGTGCAACAACAAGTCATCGAGGCCTTGGGACAATTACCAAGTTAAGTGTGGTAAAACATTGGTGTTAATTAGTCTTCTTAGATCAAAACTGGTGTTTTAGATAGGATTTAGCTAGCTAGTCAGGATTTGCAACACCAAGGCATCATCCCCAACTGTTAGTTAGAGGGGATTAGGTTACAAAATTCTGTGCGCAGTGTTATGTGTGTTACAGGAGAATCTACGAGAACTCTTCTAGAATTGTCTTCTAGAGTCAACAAGACCAGCACAGCAAGATTAATCAATTTCTGTAAAATTCCTTTATTTTAAAATGATCAGGCTAAATGGTTGCACCCCAGGATGGCGTCCCTAACTAGTTTTTGGACGTGCCATGGGAGTCGCTGTTGAACCACTCTTTAAGAGGATCATGAATTTTGTTTGATCGTTGATGGCGTGTCAAGGAAGGACTGGACACCCTTACCTTGAGTCAGATGGGCCTAGACGTGATATTGTTTTCAGCTCAACACTCAAGATGACGCAGAAAAATTTAATTGAATGTCAAAGTTTGGGCAACTTATAATTTTCTTTAAAAGAAGGAGTGGAGTGATAACTTTAAAAGGAGGAGAAGTGATAACTTTAAAAGGAGGAGAAGTGATAACTTTAAAAGGAGGAGAAGTGATAACTTTAAAAGGAGGAGAAGTGATAACTTTGAAGGAAAGGAAGCAATTTGAGAAAATTCTTTTAAAGGGGGAGTGGTGTAGAGATTTGACGGTTTAAAAGGAGCTAAACAAGTGTCAGTCAGTATTTTTATTTCTTGTCTTCTTCCCCTCTCTGGCTTGCTTCCCTCACTCCTGGCCAAGGCCCTACAATACTCCTCTTTCTGAACTCACCCACCAAGCAAGGTGTCACTGTTGCCCAGACTATAAATTGGATCGCGCCTCAGCGCCGGTCAACAGTCTGTAGCCTGGTCTCGGTCTGTGCAAACCTCCCTAATAAACCTGTGAATCCCTACTCTCTCTCGTCACTTATCCGTTCCTCATCACTATTAGTGCCCTACACTACAATGCTTTTTACAAGTGCACTGACCTGAAGAAGATTCCCCTCTAACGGGGGAGGGGGGAGAGGGGAACAAAACACGTAAATCATTTTCACTGCCATTCTCCATATTTCGCTGTGTTGATACTCCAAAAGGGTTTTAATCATTCTAGAATGTGGAAAAACTATGCCCGATCTCATTTTCAAACCCTTCTGCTCGTTATTTTGTTTTATTTGCTTATTTGCTTCTGTCCCGTATAGGGGTTCGAAGGCCCGACAGAGCGCAGCACCGTCGACCCCATTAAGTTGTCGCTTGTTGTCCAAGGGATTTGTAAATTCCTTCGCTAAGCATTTTACGCTATTACGCTTATCGGGGTTGAGTTTTTTATGCTCAAGTGAATTTTAGAGAGCTCAGACGACACATGTTTCGGCATGTCAGCGATCTTTAGTCGGCGGCGTCGTCTGCTCTCCCATGCTCCCGACGATGTGACAGTACCGTGGACAATCTATTCTCGTAGTTCCAAGGGTGGCCACCACGCCTGGGCAGGCGGCGCTGAGCTTTGCCTTCGAACCCCTATTTGAGAATTTGAGAGCCGCGGCCGCAGGTATGAGAAATTCGTTGCTGCCAACCTAACCATGCTAACGACCTGATTCAAAAATATGTTTTTAATATTTCAAACGATATTAAACAACGATTTGAAACAAACTCGTGTTGGGGGGAACTAATGTGACGAGAAATACGAAATGTTGGACCTGAAGCAACTGTAGTTGCTGAGAATCGTTGGTGAGTACAAAGTCACAGACAGACAGACGCACGACCAGTCACTTTTCAGCGCGCCCAAACACGGCAAGGGCTTCGCTATCGCTCAGCCAAATAAACTAGGGGTACGCGCCGTTCAGTCTGGGCGCGTAGTGTGGCTGAGCGATGCGAATTGACATTTTTTGTGCACTTTGGACTTTGCTTGATTAGACGAAATATCCATCTTATGGGCTCATATTCAGTGAACTTTAGACCAGGGGTACAAATGGAAGTGATTTTCGTCATCAGAACACCAAAAACTGCTGGAATCAATGTCAAACTCAATTTAAAAATTTTGGTCAAAATTCGGGTAAGTGTGTGTGAGTCTGGGAAAATTTTGGAAGTCATTTTCGAGTTCAGCACACAAAAAACTGCAGGAAACAATATAAAACTTGACTTGAAATTTTTGGTCCAAAATGACCTAATATGGGATGAAAATATAGGTCTGGTGTTAAAATGGGAGTTATTTTCGTTATCAGCACTCAAAAAACTGCAAGAATCACTGTACAATTCATTTCAAAAAATTTAACCAAAAATCGGTTAAATTATGGGTTAGGGGACAATTAAGATGTCAAAACTGAGGTCAGCGCACTGAAAACTAGGGAAATACATAAATCTGAACTTGGAAAGTTTTCCCCCAAAATTGCGTAGCTCTAGATGAAAATGTAGGATTGGCATTGAAATAAATGTAGTTTTTGTGACCAGTACACTGCAAACTACATACAATACTTAAAACTAAATTTCTGTATATTGTTCCTATTTGTCTTCATGAAGCACCCTCTGTCGTCACCAATTCCCTGATGCCACACCAAAGCGAATCCCTCAGTCGAGTAAAATTCAATTGCCAACATTGAATCGCTTAATTGGCTACTCGTATGCTTGGGTCACTATTCGATAACTCTTTTTCCTTAACTAATGAACTCACAATTTTATAAGTTATATTTATGAAACATTTTGTTATTCTTTCATTGTGAACCAGTGAATAAAACAATATTGGTTGGTACATGTTATCACAGTAAATATTAAGAGAGTCAGTTTAGGGTAGGCTGATCTAAACCAGTTAACGGGGACAAATTATTGTCAAATCCAGTGATTCGTCACATAGAGTCCAATGCCAAGGCTACCCAAGGCTTAATGAACCGACATAATTTATCTTACTCATGTAAACATTACTGAGTAGTACCAGTTACATTAACTTCGGTGAAGTTAAAGGAATCGTCTCACTAAATCCAATCACCAATTCACTCACCGCTCAAAACCTGAGTCGTCTCTTCGAAACCAATATCAATTCAAACTCCATAAGGATTAAATATACACAACCATATATTGATTCTATTAATAAACTCATGTTAGTACTTTTGGACTCTTGTCAGCTTGCAGCATTGCAATAGAATGAATTTCTCGAGTCCAAACTAAGTATGCCTGCCAATAATAACACAAGTTATTTATGCATTTCCCTGATTTCCTCTAGTTTGAAAATTTTAAAAAGAGGATGACACTAGAATGAAATAAGAAGATGCACACAATACAAAAGGTCAAAATAAAAACATCCTTTTTACAAAGCTTTGTCAAAGTGCACTGACCTGAAGATGATTCCCCTCTGACAGGGGAGGGGGGAACGAAACACGTAAATCATTTTCGAATCCATTTTCCATATTTCGCTGTGTTGGTGTTCCAAAATGGTTTTAATCATTCTAGAATGTTGAAAAACTAAGGCCGATCTCATTTCCAAACCCTTCTGCTCTTTATTTCGTTTTATTTGCTTATTTGCTTAAGTCCCGTATTTGAGAGCCGCGGACCCGCAGGTATGAGAAATTGGTAAGCGCTGCCGCGCTGCCAACCTAACCACGCTAATGACCTGATTCAAAAATATGTTTTGAATATTTCAAACGATACTAAACAACGATTTGAAACAAACTCGTGTTGGGGGGTACTAAGGCGACGTTAAATACGAAATCTTGAAACTATAGCCACTGTAGTTGCTGAGAATCGTTGGTGAGTACAAACAGACTCACAGACAGACAGACGCACGACCAGTCACTTTTTAGCGCGCCCAAACACGGCAAGGGCTTCGCTAACGCTCAGCCAATAATGAATGAAAAATAAAGATAGCGACTAAAGTACTTACTTACGGGCATAACCAATCCTTTTTATTTACAACCATCATTTGTTGTTGGTCAATGACTTGTTTTTGAAGGCGTACTGTTTATATGCACTGTTATTAAATGTCTTATGGTGGAAGGCTGCACCAACATGGTGGAGATTTTCTCCAGAATACCAACAAAATTCGTCAAAATATCTATTAGGTACATTGAATTCTCAGTGGTATGTTACGAAGTCAGCTGCACCACCGTAATATGGAACATTTTCACCACAATATGGAGTATCTTCACTGTATAATATTGTTAAATGTGCGGCAGGGAGGTAAAAAGGGAATAAGAGAGAGAATTGGGAGTAGAAAGACGGTTGTATTTCGGTTGTAGTAGGAAGGCTCGGAGAGCGATGAGAAGCTGCACGTAGATGCTCACACTAGAGCGAGCTAGGCGCAACTGCCGCGTAGATCCGCCGAGTCGCCGGGCCCGGGCTGCCCGCCCGCCCGCTGTAGTTCCCGCGCCGGCCGCCAGGGGCAGCACGGGCGCGCGCTCGTCGCTTGCGCATCTGCGCGCAGGCGCAGTGAGGACAGCGTTATACGCAGAGCGGCAGAGAGTCGTCTGCTGGAGTATTTACCAGTGTGTGCGAAGCGACCGCATGGGATGCAATCATTTGAACATCACAACATTACCCCCCTCTCTCTGTTAGAAAACTTGCCGATCTGCGTGATTTACCATTTAAAATGACTTGGCAAATCGTGTCTCCCCCATTCGGGATACGGTGGGTAGGGAAACCTCACTAAAACCAGACCCGGAGACCTTAGGCAGGTTACAAGCTACAGTGCAGCCTAGGTCAAGAAGTAGCCAGCAGCTGACAACTTTAGACCCAGGACAGCTGTATTACTCAGAACACAACCAGTACGAGCAAGGAGCAGACAGAAGTTGTGGACTTCTTCGCAGTGTATTTGGGGACCAGAATGCCAGGTGAGCGGTGTTGAATTGACATCAATCGAGTGGAGAGTAGGCCAGGTTTGAAGTTCGGAAACTGAAGTGGGGTTGCTCCAGATACTTGTAGACTGAAACAGTGTCATTTTACGCAGTACTTTGTTTTGGTTTTTGGCTCACCGTTTGGGCTCAGCTTGCCGCCACTGGCAAGTGTAGCAGGAAATAAACATCACCAATAACTAGGCGATTTTTAAATCATTAAAGATTTGTTTGAGGCGAGCCAAGTTAAATTCAAAGGTGCACTTGCTGTTGACTTAAAAGTTTAACTACTTGAGTGAAGTTGCACCATAACCGTTAAAATGCAAAGACATGGACACTGTTAAAACCCGTTTGAGAGTTTAGAATTTAAAAGCGTTGAACCAGATCAAAATAAATGCAAAGTGGGTAACTTTTCCCGAGCCTTGGTGACTATTGAATGGCAAGGAAAGAAACATAACCCAACACAGCACATAGAAAGGGTAAATAAAGGCATTTATTAATTTTAAATGCACTTGAGATCCATTACACGGATACAAAACAAAACAAATAAGGGAAATGAAAGATCAGACCGAGTTCAAGGAAACTTCAGGCCTACAGGGGCTTCTCGTTGTCCTCTTCATCTTCGTAATCCAGCAGCTCATCCTCGTTGGCCTCGGTGGTGGTGAGGTCCAGCATCTCTGCGTCAGAGTGGTCGCCTGCAGTGTCACTGAGGAGGGGGTCTCGTGCCAGGTTCAGGAGTTGCAGGTCGGTTGTAATTCCTCGGGGCTCCTCAGTTGTTTTGGCCGTTGCAGGGGAAGGTTTACCAGAGGCAGGAGCTGCAGTCTGGGTCCCTTCGGCCACGACCAGTCCAGGAGAGGCAGAAGCTGCTTGCTTCCTGGACTGACGGTCTAACAACGGCTCGATGCACTGCCTTACGGAGTGCTCGCCCCCGCAGTTGCTGCAGGGCTGCGGGCACCCGTCCGCTCGGTGACCAGCCCGCTGGCAATTGCCACAGCGCGGGTTGCGGTTTACCTTGAGCGGCCCGTTCTGTTCGTTGGAAGCAGGCTCCTTGGGGGCGCGCTTGTCCTGCACGACGGCTTGCTTCACTTGGGCGGCGTCCTGCTTCTTGGCGGGCTTCCTGGCGGCGGGTTTGGCTGTAGGCTTCGCGGC